ATATAAAGAGAGAGAGAGAATGAAAGTAGAAGTGTTGTGGACGTGTGTGGGTCAGAGCTGAGCTCTGAGGATGATGCCCGAATCAGCCCCGAGACGTTATATATTGGCTAGACCGAGCTAGAAGGTTGGTTCCGAATCGGTCAAATACTATTTTTATCGACTCGAATGAGCCCGAGGAGGACAGGTGGTCCGTAATCGCGCGAAATGTGAATAAATTTTGTATGTTTGAATGGTACCGGGGTGGTACAGAGTACATTAGTGTAATAACTATGTCGGAGGATTCGGTACGAGGTCCCGTGACTTCACCGATTGGTCGGGTCGGGTAGACTACGAGATCGGGTGGTGAGAAGTCGATGGGATGACCGATGGCGTGGCCGCTCGGAGGGGTACTCCGGCATGAGTGATGAAGTGGCGCCAATAATCCTACTCGTGCTGGAGGGTGGTCGAGATCAGTACTGCGGTACCGATCCACAATGTGCCCACCAGTATGATAGCCTCTGAGTTCGTGGCATAGTTAGGGTATACTTCCGGAAGGTGTCTTAGTGGTGTCGATAATTTCAGCAATTGATCATAATATATAATTCTATATCCGTTTTATTATATCGAATTATTTAATACTTACCCCTATTTTTCCATGTGGATGGAATCGCGATGATCACTTTTATGTGGGAGCAGGTCGAGAGTTGAGAGATGGTGATGGGACTACTAGGCAGCGAGGATAGTTCGATGAGATAGCTTCGAGGAGCTACTCTTACATGTATAATATATAAATAAATTATATTACTATATTTTGAAGTTATGTTAGTGAACTGGAATTTCAATATATGTTACAAATACGATAATATAATGTAAAATAGATATTGTTATTTACTTGTTTACTACTTTGCGAAGACATCATTATAGTAGCGATTTCTTGGGTCGTTACAATAGTGGTATCGAGCGGTAGTATCCTTGTAAATCGTGGAGATGGTAGTGAACCTATGATAAGTCCGTTGTGATTATACTCGATTGTGAGTGTGTGAATGTTTGCTCTGTATTGATGGTTGTGTTTGATATAGGATGGCACGCGACCTCCTACTCCTACTCCTACTCCATCGAGTGTAGATGCCCTAGCCAGGGCAATGGAAATATTGGCAAGTCGCCATGCCAGCGGTGCTACCTACCGCAGTGGAGGCCAACTATGGCATCATCCTCTGCTGGATATCACCAATCGGAGCAGAGATGGGGTTGGTCGAGTTCATGAGGCATAATCCGCCTCGTTTTGGAGGAGATTTGGGTCCAGATGCTGCAGAGAAATGGCCGCGTGAAGTGGAGAAGATTTTTGAGGCTACCTTATGCCGGAAGACAAGGGAAATTGACATTCTGGAAATACTTACTAGTTGATGAGGCTCGAGTTACGGTGGTCGGGGACTCAAAGGATGATGATTGCACGTGGGGAGGTGTGTAATTGGGAAACTTTCCGTGAGAGATTTACGGAGAAATACTTCCCCGACAGTGTTAGATTTCAGAAGGAGGCCGAGTTCCTGAGTGCGAGACAGGGTAATATGATGGTGCATGATTACGCCATACGATTTGAGCACTTATCTCGTTTCTACACAGGTACAACTTCGAACAGTGGCTTTGCGGGAAGTTTGAGGAAGGCTTGAGGGCTGAGATCAAGCTCATGGTGGTTCCTTTCTCTATCGGGAGATTCCCGGAGCTGGTGGAGAAGGCGAAGACAATAGAGAGACTCCGAGGAGGGAGGAGTCGGAGTGATGAGGACCCACTCAAGTGGGGTCCCAGAGAGGGTAGTAGATCGAGAGAGGAGGATGCCTTATTCACGCCCCGATCTTCCGGGAGTGGCGAGTGTTACCCCGACACATCGATCATCGGGATTCGTATCGGGGGTAAAATGTTTTCATTGTGGAGGCCCTCATTACAGGAATCAGTGCCCACAGAATGCCTTCACTAATCCTTCCCAGACTTCTCGGGCAGGTCTTTGCTACACTTGCCAGAAGCCAGGACATATGGCTAGAGACTGTCCACAGAATCCCAATGTTATAGTCTCAGCTGGGGCATCATTAGCACCCAGGGGGAGTGACGCGAAACCCAGAGCTGCAGGACGGGTGGTTGCCTTGTCAGGAGCAGAGGCATCGAGGTTAGAGAATTTAGTGCAAGGTTTGTGTTTTATCTCTGATATACCTCTACGAGTTTTGTTTGATTCAGGTGCTACCCATTCTTTTATTGCTGATAATTGTATGAATAAACTTAAGTTACATGTGTGTGACCTACCCTATGAATTGAGGGTATCTACACCAGCAGCTGGACTGGTGGTGTCTTCCTATGTGTGTTTAAGGTGCCCAATTATCGTAGAAGGACGACAGTACAAGGTGAACTTAATCGGTTTACCTTTGAAGGATATGGATGTAATCTTAGGGATGGATTGGTTATCTACCAATCGCATTCTGATTGACTGTGGACAGAAGAGGTTGGTACATCCGGAATTAGGAGATGAACTTATTACATCAGCTCGGCAGGTTCAGAAAGAGCTACGAGAGGGAGCTCAGTGTTATTTGATTCTGACTCAGATGGATGAAATGAAGGAAAATATCCTGGAAGAGGTACCAGTTGTGAGAGAATTTCCTGATGTGTTTCCAGATGAGATACCAAGGCTACCACCTCAGAGAGAAGTCGAATTTGGGATTGATCTAATTCCTGGTTCAGGCTCAATCTCTATGGCACCATACCGTATGGCTCCAGCAGAATTGGCTGAATTGAAGAAACAGATAGAAGATTTGCTGGAAAAGAAGGTCATTCGCCCGAGTGTATCTCCCTGGGGTGCTCCTGTATTGCTAGTAAAGAAGAAAGATGGGAGCTCCAGGTTGTGTATTGATTACCGGCAACTAAACAAGGTGACTATCAAGAACAAGTACCCGTTGCCGAGGATTGATGATTTATTAGACCAGTTACAGGGAGCATCAATCTTTTCTAAGATTGATTTGAGATTTGGATACCATCAGATACTGGTTAAAGAAGAGGATGTACAGAAGACGGCGTTTAGGTCGAGATATGGCCATTATGAATATGTGGTCATGTCGTTTGGAGTAACAAATGCACCTGCAGTATTTATGGACTATATGAACAGGATTTTCCGTCCTTATTTAGATAAATTTGTTGTTGTTTTTATAGACAACATTCTTATTTATTCTAGAACTCGGGAAGAACACCAGGAACATCTGAGGGCGGTGTTGGCTGTGTTAAGAGAGAAACAATTGTATGCCAAACTTTCAAAATGTGAGTTTTGGTTAGAACAGGTGCAGTTTTTGGGACATGTAATATCGGCAGAAGGGATATATGTAGATCCTACTAAGGTAGATGCAGTGTTAAAATGGGAACCCCCTAAGACAGTGACGGAAGTGCGTAGCTTTGTGGGACTTGCAGGATATTACCGGAAATTTATAGAGGGTTTCTCTAAGATAGCAACTCCTTTGACACAGTTGACCCGTAAGGATCAACCTTTTGCTTGGACAGATAGATGTGAGGAGAGTTTCCAGGAGTTGAAAAGAAGATTGTCTAGTTCCCCAGTGTTGGTGATCCCAGATGTGACTCAATCTTTTCGGGTATATTGTGATGCTTCTATTCAGGGGTTAGGTTGTGTCTTGATGCAAGATAAAAAGGCGGTGGCATATGCGTCGAGACAACTTAGAATTCATGAGAGGAATTATCCCATTCATGACTTAGAACTAGCAGCGAGTGGTGTTTGCTCTCAAGATGTGGAGACATTATCTTTATGGAGTCAGATTTGAAGTTTTTAGTGATCACAAGAGCCTCGAAGTATTTATTTGATCAGAAAGAGCTAAATATGAGACAGAGAAGATGGATGGAGTTTCGAAGGATTATGACTTTTAGTTACTTTATCATCCGAGAAAGGCGAATGTGGTGGCTGACGCCTTGAGTAGGAAGGCAGTTCGGATGTCGACAATGATGATGGATGAATTGAGATTACTTGAGAAGTTCAGGGATTTGCATCTAGATGTAGAGTTTCGTGATACTAGTATTAGTTGTGGTAGCATTACCATTACTAATGATTTTCTCGAGATGATCAGAGATAGACAACAAGGTGATATGACATTGAAAAATGTTATAAATCGGTTAGGATTCGAGCGGCACCATTGACTATAAGATGGGTGAGGATAATATTCTGAGATTTAGAGGAAGGATTTGTATTCCCGTTGACCAGGAATTGAAGAGAGCAATACTAGATGAAGGTCATCTGGAGTCGTCTAAGTCTACACCCTAGTATGACTAAGATGTATCAAGATCTGAAGAAGGTTTATTGGTGGTCCGGTATGAGGAGAGATATTGCAGAGTATGTGGCTGCTTGTTTGACTTGTCGAAAGCAAAGGTGGAACACCAAAGGCGGGATGAATGCTACAGCAAATGGAGATACCTGAATGGAAGTGGGATAGCATTACCATGGATTTTGTTACCCATTTACCACGGACAATTCGAGGGTACAATTCGATCCGGGTGATAGTGGACAGATTGACGAAGAGTGCACATTTCCTCCCCGTAAATCTGAGGATATCTATGGCTAAACCGGCACAACTATATATTCGCGAGATTGTTCGATTACATGGGGTACCATCTAGCATTATCTCGGATAGGGATCCTAGATTTACTTCAAGATTCCGCGAGACTTTACAAGAGGCATTAGGTACCCGACTTAGGTTGAGTTCAGCCTATCACCCCCGGCATGCATGG